TTCCATAATACAGTCATACCTCGGGTTGAATACCTTTCAGGTTGAGCGCTTTCAGGTTGCGCTCCGCGGCGACACAGAAGTCACGGGACACGTTACTTCTGGGTTTCGCCACTCGCACATGCACAGATGCTCAAAATGACATCAAGCGCATGCGCGGAAGCGGCAAATTGTGACCCACACACACGCAGATGCACAGTCACGGGTTGCGTTGGCTTCAGGGTGTGAATGGGGCTCCAGAACGGATCCCGTTCGCATCCTGAGGTACCACTGTAATAATAATAATAGTAATAATTTTATTATTTGTGCCCCGCGCCTCTGACTGGGTTGCCCCAGCCACTCAGGGTAGCTTCCAACATATATAAAAACATTTAAAAAATAATTTTTAAAAAACAAAACCTTTCCCTATACAGGGCTGCTTTCAGGTGTCTTCTAAAGGCTGTATGGTTATTTATCTCCTTAGATCAGGGGTCACATAACTCCATACCCTCCAACATTTCTCTCATGAAAATAGGGATGTCCTAAGGGAAAAGCAGGACATTCCAGGTTCAAATCAGAAACGGCCACAGTGTCTGTAATTCCAGGACTGTCCCTGGAAAATAGGGAGACTTGGAGGGTCTGCAACCCGTGTGGGCCAAATTGATAGGTGTCTGGGGCTACTGACCTGTCAAACACCTGACTTTGACCATGATGTCAAGTGAAGCATTTTGCTTTGCCTGCACAGTTTGAAATTGAGTCACACAGGCCAAGGCACAGGGGTTTGCAGGAGCTGCCAGTGAAACTGGTTGGCAGCATCTGCAAGCCCACTTTCGGCTGTGAGCTTTGTCTTCACCTGCCCCACATGCAATGTCATGCGTGATGTCAGGTGTAGGACAGGGGTGTGCAGCTTGGGGGAAATGGCCTCGTGGGCCAAATTGGGACTCCTGCTGGACCGCCCTCCTCATGCTCAACTCTAATCTCATTCTTTATCCTCTTTCCTTTTTCCTATTATTTTCCAAAAGTTCTCGTTTCCAGCGCTCTTCCATCTGAAGAAGTCAGCCTCAATTTGCTTCTTTTTTCCCCCCTTGCCACCCTCCGAGCTTTAATTTGTGCCAGGACTCGCCAGGGCTAGAATCTATTTTCAGTGCCAGGGCTCATCCTTGTAAGGAATTAATGAGGTATTAATTCCCATTAGAACTCTAATTTAAGGGCCATGTACAGGCAAGATTAAAACCACTTCATTTCCCAGAGTTGACTAAGAACAGGTTTATTATACTGATTCAACCATATATTTTCATACACGCAGTGCACATCGCTATTAATTCGTTGAGGATGGGGAACAGGGCAAAAGTTCAAGCTGGATACAAATGAAGTATGGGCTTTAAAGAGGTGTCGAAGGAAAACTCAGCAGCCTGTCCTTCAGGATGTGGAATTTCACCGCAGTGTGGCTGTTTTGGGCCATTTTCTGTGTACAAACTACATTTCGGAGCACTGACTGTTTTTTAATTATGTGGGAGAAAGTGAGATGCTTTTTTAAGAATATACAGTGGTACCTCAGGTTAAGTACTTAATTTGTTCCGGAGGTCCGTACTTAACCTGAAACTGTTCTTAACCTGAAGCACCACTTTAGCTAATGGGGCCTCCTGCTGCTGCCGCACCGCCGGAGCCCGATTTCTGTTCCTATCCTGAAGCAAAGTTCTTAACCTGAAGCACTATTTCTGGGTTAGTGGAGTCTGTAACCTGAAGCGTATGTAACCTGAAGCATATGTAACCCGAGGTACCACTGTATATAAAAAAATCTAAGTTTAAAACTTTCCTATTCACTAAGGCAAACTGAGGCAGTAGTTCAGGAGTTCTCCTAGCCACCTCACCCAAAATGCCAGACTCTGAGAAGAAGGATTTCCTTGACTCTTATCCAGAGCTCAGGCAAAGAAGGGATGTAGAGGATGGAGCCAACTGTCTGACAAGCTGGCTGTGGTGGGAAGGGAACTAGGCCCAATGGGGTGGGGATGGATGACAAGTTGGACCAGTGAGGGATGGGGCTTCTTTTTCCTTATCCCTCTTAACTGAGCAAGCAAGGGCACCTCCTGAGTTCTGGTTCCCTTGGCAGTGCTCAACCTGACTGTTCACACCAGTCGTGGTCTTGCTCCACATCTTCCTATGTCCCAGACCCTCCAAGTGTCCCTGTTTTCCAGGGACAGTCCCAGATTTACAGAAGCTGCCCCAGTTTCTGATTTGATCCCAGAATGTCCCAGTTTTCCTTAGGACATCCCTATTTTTATTGGAGAAATGTTGGGGCGTATGCAGTTATGCAACCCCGAGCCCAGGAGATAAATAACTATACAACCTTTAGAGGACATCTGAAGGCAGCCCTGCATAGGGAAGATTTTTAATGCTTAATGTTTTATTATGTATTTATATATGTTGAAAGCCGGCCAGAGTGGCTGGGGCAACCCAATCAGATGGGTGGGGAATAATCATAATCACAATAATAAAAGAATAGGTAAAGGTAAAGGGACCCCTGACCATTAAGTCCAGTCATAGCCAACTCTGGGGTTGTGGTGCTCATCTCGCTTTATTAGCCGAGGGAGCCGGTGTACAGCTTCCGGGTCATGTGGCCAGCATGACTAAGCCGCTTCTGGCGAACCAGAGCAACTCACGGAAACACCGTTTACCTTCCCGCCAGAGTGGTACCTATTTATCTACTTGCACTTAGACGTGCTTTTGAACTGCTAGGTTGGCAGGAGCAGGGACCAAGCAACGGGAGCTCACCCCGGCGTGGGGATTCGAACCACCAACCTTCTGACCTTCTGATCGGCAAGTCCTAGGCTCTGTGGTTTAACCCACAGAGTCCCTTCATAATAGAATAGGACGTCCCTATTTTTCATTGTTGAAATGTTGGAGGGTATGGTGTTCTCATTCCAAAAGGCCTTCCCATACATTCACCAAACACACCTTCTTTCTTCTTTACAATCCTGTTCCTCTTCCATATCCATTTGTGTGGCTTTAAAAAAAAAAATCTCCTTAAATCTCCAGCTTATGCAGCACACTTCGAGTTCACTGAGTAAAATCTTCAGTCTATGACTTTCGTAGTGCTTAGGAATTATGAGCCAATAACTGAATGAGATAGAGAAGAGAGTCCTAAGTAGAAGGAGAAACCTCACAGAAGTAGCTTTCGAACACTGTCACAAACAATGCTGTTGTCGAAAATTAAGCTCTTTCCACTTATAACCCAAGGCCCCTAGACAATCGCAGAGAAAAGCTGCAAAGCTTGGCTTTTAATATCTTTTTCTCCCCCCACCCCACAAATCAATACGCAACTTCCTACACTATGTTATACATTCTAGTACAGTCATTGTTTTCCATGCCCCGTGAAAATTGAAACTGGGTGATTAAAAGCTATGTGGTCTGTAAAATTACTAGATTCATCTGGTTGCCAGAAGAAGAAGAAAAACCCCCAAAAAACAAATATTATTTAAAACTATTAGAAATCATACAGAGGGACTAACAAAGAAAATTATATAGACATGTAGGCCCAGATCTGCCTGCTAGGTTTGTTATTATCATGCCACTATTCAGTAGCCATTAAATGTTCCCTTGTGTATTCTGAAGACACATGAGGCCACCCAAAATTATGCAGGGACTCAGCTATGCAGCTGCAATTATAACATTTTCAGTGCATTTTAAGTGCAATACACAAATGTGACATTAGATGGCACCTGTGAGCTAATGACAAATTCAATATATTCATTTTCACAGCATATATATATACAGTGGTGCCCCGCAAGACGAATGCCTCGCAAGACGGAAAACCCGCTAGACGAAAGGGTTTTCCGTTTTTGAGTTGCTTCGCAGGACGAATTTCCCTATGGGCTTGCTTCGCAAGACGAAAATGTCTTGCGAGTCTTGAGATTTTTTTTTTGCTTTTCCCCCCCTTTATCTAAGCCGCTAAGCCTTTAATAGCCTTTTAGCAGCTAATCCGCTAAACCGATAAGCCTTTAATAGCCGCTAAACCGCTAATAGCGCTAATCCGTTAAGCCGCTAATAGGGTTGCTTCGCAAGACGAAAAAACCGCTAGACGAAGACACTCGCGGAACGGATTTTGTCTTGCGAGGCACCACTGTATATATATTCCACCCAGGTTTGCGTTTTACTAGCGTTCCCACAGGTGTGTCACCCTGGGGGTTCATGCGGCAGAGGGGGCTGCTTCACGCTGCCTTGTGGGGGTCTGATATGTATGGAAGAAATCTAGCATGTAAAAGTAATAAAACAGAAAGATCAATTGTCTAAACACTTAAACTGCAGGTTTATTTCCTTCCCTGACCATTTTACTGTGTGAGTGTCATGGATACTGCTGCTGTATATTATGGATCCACATCAAAGTCTAACAGCCAGTGGCTGGTACAGTGGCTAAAGCACCCATCTTGGACCCAGGAGACCCGGGTTCAAATCCTCACTCAAGTCATGCTCACGGGCTGACTTGGGGCCAGTTATTCAGCCTAATCTACTGTTTGAGAACAGCACAAGTGTAATATCCCATTGGCCTCGCTAGTGTCACTCTTCTTTGGACCCTGGTCAAAGTATCTGAAGAATTGTCTCCATCCGCATTGAAACACGCTCTGAAGGCTCAGTGGTATCAAATCCAGCCTTCCAGCAATGCATGAAATCTGCCCTAGACAGTGTTCCTTCCTGGAGATTCAAAATATTGAAACAGGATAGGCTCCCGGCTAGACATAAATTGCAAGAGCCTGGACAGGAAATTCCAGCTATAATTGATGTATGATGAATTCCATTAACTTCTTCTGGGAAGTCTCCTTCTGCCACACCCGGTGGCTGACGCCTGTCTCACTATTTACCCTATTTCTCCACGTATAAGACAATATTTTTTCCTTAGAAATAATAGGCAAAAATTGCAGGTCATCTTATACACGGATAGCAGAGGGCGGACAGGCGATTGGTGGCAGCAGCCAGCAGGAGTTTGGCAGCATTGATTGGGCGTGTGATTGTTTGCTGCGGCAAGGCCTGTTGATAACTGGCTGCAGCTGCGGCAATTGGGCGGTTGATTTACGGCAGTGACGAGGTGTGCGTGCAATTGGCTGTGGTTGTGTTTAGTGGGCAGGTGGTCTTTTGGCGGCGAGCTGTACAGATGATTGTTGGCTGTGGCTATCTGTGTGTCCCCCAACTTTGGGCAATCCCCCCCAAAAAAATTTTTTGATGCGGTCCAAGGTATAAGGTTGTCTTATACATGGGGGCCTGTTATACACGGAAAAATATGGTAATTGTGTGCAAAAACATTCATTAGTAGCATTATACAGTGGACGCTCGGGTTGCAAACGTGATCTGTGTGGGATGCAGCGTTCGCAACCCATGTCTGCACATGCATGAGTTGTGATTCGGTGCCTCTGCACATGCCCAAAGTGCAATTTAGTGCTTCTGCGCATGCACGATCACCGAAACCCAGAAGTAACCCAGTCCGGTACTTCCGGGTTTCGGTGGCCTGCAACCTGAAAAAACGCAACCTGAAGTGGCTGTAACCCGAGGTATGACTGTATAACAACAGCCGATTTCATACGCCTCCAAGACATAATATTCAGAGCACTGTGGAGGGGCAGGAAAGAAGAAGAAGAAGAAGAAGAAGAAGAAGAAGAAGAAGAAGAAGAAGAAGAAGAAGAGGAGGAGGAGGAGTAGTTTGGATTTGATATCCCGCCTTTCACTCCCTTTAAGGAGTTTCAAAGCGGCTAACATTTTCCTTTCCCTTCCTCCCCCACAACAAACACTCTGTGAGGTGAGTGGGGCTGAGAGACTTCAAAGAAGTGTGACTAGCCCAAGGTCACCCAACAGCTGCATGTGGAGGAACGGAGACGCGAACCCGGTTCACCAGATTACGAGACTACCGCTCTTAACCACTACACCACACTGGAACCCAGCTTCCAGGTAAAAAAATCCAACACATGAAGAGCACGTTTGACTCTGGCCCATGTTGGCCCTGCCTCTGTCCCCCACCACATCACACCACTAGGCTGCCAGACTCTGCCTCTTGTCCCACCCACTCCTGCACAGGAGGGCCCCTATCCTTTTTCAACCATGGAATATTGCGGCTTGCGTCTGTTCTTCTCAAATACACAAGCGCCTCAAAAAAAGGGGGGGGAGCATCCATTTGGAGCAAGGTCAACCAAGAGTTAATTGTATCCCACATTCAGCCTGTGTTTCTATTTTGTTTTTCCTTGTGTTTTTTGGAGGCTCAGCTGCTCTAGATTCAAACCCATAACTATATTAAATTGATGTATTATAATTTGCATATCTGGTGCTACCTTTCTGCCTCCGTTCATTATAGATATGGGCTTCAGGCCTGGAAGGCTTTGGAGGCTTTTTGGTGGGGGGGGGGGGTGTTTCATTTTTCCCCTTGAGTACCGCTTAATTTGTGCAATTATTTTTCCACAGTGCACATGCCACATATTGACATGTGCCTTTTAAAGAGAATACAGTTGCTTCTGATTAAGCCACTGTCCCTAAGAATAGAATGGATTCCCACCCCCACCCCCACCCCCCGGTCATCTCCACTGTGGAATGTCAATGATACTTTGCATACAAATCTATTTAGCTTCTCCAATAAAGAGACTGACAGATGAAACCAAGTCCCTCTTCAGGAAATTTGCTTTCAGGATGTTGTGTAGAAGCTGCAGTTAGTTCCCTCCTACCACAAATTAAATGATGGTGCACCATTAGCCATCGTGCTTTCCAATGCAAATCAAGCCCCATGATTCAGAAATATGGGCATGCAAAAGTGATCTCCCTTTGTGCTGTCTGTCTGTCTTTGGTTAGTTAGTTAGTTAGTTAGTTATTCATTCATTCATTCATTCATTCATTAATACCCTGCCCATCTGGCTGGGTTTCCCCAGCCACTCTGGGTGGCTCCCAACAGAATATTAAAAACATGATAAAACCTCAAACATTAAAAACTTCCATAGACAGGGCTGCCTTCAGATATCTTCTAAAAGTCAGATAGTTGTTTATTTCCTTGACATCTGATGGGAGGGCATTCCACAGGGCGGGTGCCGCTACCGAGAAGGCTCTCTGCCTGGTTCCCTGTAACCTCACTTCTCACAGGGAGGGAACCACCAGAAGGCCCTCGGAGCTGGACCTCAGTGTCTGGGCTGAACGATGGGGGTGGAGACGCTCCTTCTGGTATTGTAAAGGTAAAGGGACAATTAGGTCCAGTTGTGGCCGACTCTGGGGTTGCGGCGCTCATCTCGCTTTATTGCCCGAGAGAGCCGGCGTACAGCTTCCGGGTCATGTGGCCGGCATGACTAAGCCGCTTCTGGCGAACCAAAGCAGGGCACGGAAATGCCGTTTACCTTTCCACTGGAGTGGTACCTATTTATCTACTTGCACTTTGACATGCTTTCGAATTGCTAGGTAGGCAGGAGCAGGGATTGAGCGATGAGAGCTCACTGAAGGAAACCATTGCTTCTGCACATAACTGTGGCATGATGGGAAGTCTTGCTTCTAAGCTTTGTTTTGCTCACGCTGCACCCTCTCAGCCACCCAATAAAATCATTGCTGCCTACTTTGCGAAATTGCAGCACCAGCAGTAAACGTTAGGGGAGATGTGGGCGGACTTATTTCGGGCATGCGCTGGCATACCACGTATCCCGAAATATTTTTGTCCCGTCCTGGCGAACTTATTTCAGGCATGCGCTGGCACACCACGTATCCCGAAATATTTTTGTCTTATTCACCCAGAACACCTCGCAAATAAGAAAAGAAAGGAGGAGATGAAGGAAAGCATTGTTTCTGCACATAACTGTGGCATGATGGGAAGTCTTGCTTCTAAGCTTTGTTTTGCTCACGCTGCATAAACCTTGCTGATGCTAAGACATTCCATCATCACCCTGGTACGTCCTGTTCACCTTGAGTTCACACCATATCAATCTGTACTTACCCCTCCTTGTACATTCCTTTTTCGTACCACTCTGGTACGGGCAGTCCGAAACCATGCCTGTGTAAACTCCGTGTTCCTTTTCCCAACCTTTAACCTGTCTATGATTAATGTCTTATATGCAATAATTAATGTCTTATATGCAACCCTTGCTTTGTACTTATGTTAACCAATCAGCAACAAGCACACGTGGCAAACACAGTAATATTCAATAAAAGGGAGTCTCCGAGGCTTGCTCGAGAGATGCCTCCCGTATGACACCTACTTGCTCGTCTGTCGTTCATTTTCAACCCAACAGCTCACCTTGTCGCAGGGATTCGAACCGCTGACCTTCTGATCGGTGAGTAAACAAGATGAGCTTGAGCTCTTGGTACAGCAAACTAAATATGACATAATAGGCATCACTGAAACCTGGTGGGATGAGTCCCACGATTGGAATGTAATAATGGGGGGATACAAACTATTTCAGAGAAACAGACCAGACAAGAAAGGAGGAGGAGTGGCGTTATATGTCAGGGATGTGTATACCTGTGAAGAGATCCAAGATTTAGAACCTCAAAGCCAAAGTGAGAGCATTTGGGTCAAAATTAAGGGAGAGAAGAATAACAGTGACCTCATTGTGGGAGTTTACTATAAATCCCCAAGCCAAACGGAGGACATAGATGATGCCTTCCTGGAACAGATGGCCAAGCATGCAAAAGGAAGGGAGATAGTAGTAATGGGGGACTTCAATTACCCGGATATTTGTTGGATGTCAAACTCAGCCAAGAGCATAAGGTCAAACAGATTCCTCACTGGCCTTGCAGACAACTTCATTGTCCAGAAAGTGGGAGAAGCAACAAGAGGAACAGCCATTTTAGATCTGGTCCTAACCAATGTTGATGACCTGGTTAGTGGGGTAGAAGTGGAAGGATCATTAGGTGCGAGTGATCATGCTCTTCTGAAGTTTACTATACAGCGGAAAGGAGCAGCCAAGCATACTAGGACTCAATTTCTTGACTTTAAGAAAGCCGACTTCATAAAACTTAGGGAAGTGCTGGGTGAGATCCCATGGACAGTAATACTAAAAGGAAAGGGAGTTCATGATGGCTGGGAGTTTGTTAAGAGGGAGATAGTAAAAGCACAACGTCAGGCAATACCAATGAGACAGAAACATGGAAGGTGCCTAAAGAAGCCAGGGTGGCTATCTAAAGAACTTTTAACTGAGTTAAGATTAAAAAGGATGTGTACAAAAATGGAAAAGGGGGAAACCACCAAAGAGGAATTCAAACAAATAGCCAGCACGTGTAGACACAAAGTCAGAAAAGCTAACGCACAGAATGAACTCAGGCTTGCTAGAAAGGATAAAAGCAACAAAAAGGCTTTTATGGGTATGTTCGTAGCAAAAGGAAGAACAAAGAAACAGTGGGGTCACTCAGAGGAGAAGATGGTGAAATGCAAACAGGGGACACAAAAAGGGCTGAACTCCTCAATGCCTTCTTTGCCTCAGTCTTCTCCGATAAAGAAAACAATGCCCGACCTGAAGAATTTGGAGCAAATGATTCAGCAAAGGAAACACAGCCCAGAATAACTAAGGAGATAGTACAAGAATACTTGGCTAGTTTAGATGTATTCAAGTCTCCAGGGCCAGATGAACTGCATCCAAGAGTATTAAAAGAACTGGCAGATGTGATCTCAGAACCACTGGCAGTCATCTTTGAGAATTCCTGGAGAACAGGCGAAGTCCCGGCAGACTGGAGGAGGGCAAATGTTGTCCCTATTTTCAAAAAGGGGAAAAGAGAGGACCCAAATAATTACCGCCCAGTCAGTCTGACATCAATAAATAAATGAAGCAGAATCAGCCACTTGCCCCAGGCCACTCAAATGAAACTTGAAACCATGGTCAACCTTAGACCTTAGACCTTTCTTTTCTTTACCGTGAAAACCGTTTGTGGTAAATCTATTCTGTGTGTATTATATTGTTATAGATTTGGGAGAGGGGACCCCCAAAACTCTATAAAATAATAAATGCTAGGATTCTGATTATTTGGGATGTGAAGGGAGAAATACCAGCTGCAGAGGAATCCCTTGGCTGGTTTAGTGAAGAGCAAATCTATTAACATGACAAAAGGTATTAATGGGCCATCCGACAATCCTTTGGCCTAGGGAGTCAGATGTTCCCAGTGTGATGGGTGTGTGTTTGAGGTGATAGGAAAAGGGAGTTTCAAGCAAAGGTTGCTGGAAGTAGAAGGAAGAAGGTCTGGGATTCATATTTGGGGAGGTTGGCTGCAGGCTGGCTGGGAGAGAGGCCTTGGACTCCATGGCTGCATTTCCGTGAGGGTACAAGCCCCTCTTGAAAGAACCATGCTGTAAGATCTGGACTCGCTCCATGCATATTTCTTAAAGCCACAACTGTCTCCGCTGTGTCTTCCATTCTCCAAAGGATACAGACCCTGGGTGAGTGCCGGAAACCCCATGGGCTCTTGCCACTGCTCGGCAGAGAGAGAGGCAGGCACCCGACTTTTGTAAGAATATATTATTGTTTTTCCCATGTTTCCTTTCTCTGCTAGAAAAAAAAGAAGTAGTCTTGGATCTTCATCTGGCAAGTTTTCTTCCCAATACAGCTTAGCTTCTCATGTTATATTTGATTTACAGCATGACATTGCAGGAGAAAACTTTGTGTGGCTGGGTAGCAATTTGGAGGAGCATTAATAACTTTTCAAGTACATTTTCCTCAAGCCCTTTCAGAACAAGAGCTACTGAACCCCTGAGAAACACAACTAGGCAGGACTGCTGAGTACAGCTTCGTACTGCCCTAGGAGCGGTTTTCTTTAACAATTGGTTGCATTGTACTTTCTTTTCTTTTCTTTTCACTTGGCCATTCAGAAGGCAGACCAAATTATTCTGCTCGCTGTGTCCTGAGCCAAAGGTTGTTGCTTTCTGCTACCGAGATTCTAAAGGTGTGTGTGCCTTCCATGATGCCAAGAGAGCCAGAGGAACTAATGTAATCACAGTGGCTTGTTACATGATGGAAGGCGTTCATACATCATTGCAAATACTATCATAGCAGATTGGCACTTTATGATGTACAAATAGAACCATCTGATGCTCCATCCACAGCCTCTGTTCAGGCGTTCACATTATCCACATATTAAGCAAGTGCACAAGAGACAGGAGAGGTATGCGGCCAAGTCCCTCTCCTTCCAGCATGTCCTCTTTGTCTTGTTATCAGCCCTCCATGGACTAGAGGTCTGAAGCAAGGATCTTCTCATACTTAATGGAGACTCCCCACACATTTTAGAACCCCAGAAGATTGGGGTTCCAAAAAGCACAGGAAGCCTCCATGAGTACAAGGGGCTTTCCACTTCCAACAGTCATCCTCCGCAAATTGGTGAAAGATGCGAATCCCAGTCTAATTCCGCCTCTCGCCATATTCTTGTCCTTGTGGGCAACAGAGGGGTCATGCGGTGGTCGAGCCTCTTCTAGATCCAGCCCTCAGCCATCAGGGTGTTCCAGTTGCTTTAGAAAGCGTGAGAGCTCCAAGTGCCAGATGTACGCATGCTTTGGCCAAGAAGCGTGGTCCTCTAAGTCCAAGGCACATGACTGAAGGCATTTATGTACCACACATCTGCCAGGACTAAGTGCATACCCCACAAGTGTTCTGGAAAAAATAGGAACATCCTGTTTTTTCCCACAAGAGCATGGTGGTCATTTTGGTCATTGATCTCACGTGATTTCGTGCTGAGATGTTGCCCAGAAAACCCCCCTGCTTTTTCAGGGTTGTGATCTGACAGGGTACCCTAAAACATGTGTTTTGGGGCACCATGAAAGCACAGCCCTGAAAAAAAGTATGTCTTTTGGGCTCTCTGATCTCATACAAGTCACAAACAGGTGTCTCCCGATTTTGGGACTCAACGTGTTAGAGGGTATGTCAGTGCTGACACCCAAAAGACTATTTCAAGGTAAGAGAACCTTGGTTTAGCCCATTGTTCCAGTCACTACTAGGTGGGCATCTGTTTTGGGCTTCAGGGCAAAAGCTGCGTTTTCAATGAGATGTCTCCTAGAAACTCCCTTACTTCTGAGAATGTTGCCTCCTTTGAGTTGTCTTTCATTCTATTTCTCCATTTAGTGCCTTTTTACTCTTTCGCAGAGCTTTGCTCTCTTCCACTAAATGACCTCAGTTCAAATATTGAATATGATGGCTACATGATGATGTCACTGTAAGGCAACACTTATTGCATTGGCCGAGTCACATGGGTCATCTCAGCCAATCAGATCCTCATTATCTTCATCTCTGTCATCATAGTACCGCCCACTGTTGAAAGGAACTGTGCTTTTTGGTCATGGACACAGCTCTTGCTGTTCCAGGTCAGCCCTAATGGTCATATGTTCTATTGCTTTAGGGATTCGCACAAAACCTACTATTAGGCCAATCATCACATAGCAAAAAAAAATGGGGCTTTTCTTTTCTAGGAAGAAGCAAACCTTAAGCTAAAAAAACAACAACCACAAAGCAACCACACAAACATTGTTTTCTGAGTGGGTGGAAGTAGAGTTGCGAACTAGTTACAAAACTCCAATGTTCCAAGATGTGCAAGTGTTTCAAAAGAACTAAATTAGCAGCTTATATAAGAAGATTGCAATTGGCACTTACATGACTCTTCCTGAGTGGCTATGGAATCGCTCCCACTGCTGAACATAGAAAATAAAAATAAGCTCCTTTTACTTTTCTTTCTGTGCTGTGAACTCACTCACTCTTGTCCTGCCTCCCTAGATGTTAAACAAAGTAGCAGATGGTGTGTTCCTACAAAGTGCATATGCACTGCACTGCCACAAACGGAAAAACATAAATTTGTTTACAACAAAAAATACAGAATGCCAGAAATTGCATTTTGGGGAACAGAGAGAAAGAAGGAAATGAATGCTGTAGTATCAGGTTTGCTCAGTAGTAGGTAAGAGGGAGTGGAGAAGGGAGCAGGCTTGTGATGCTTGCCTCACCCGCACCATTGCCAGGCACCATTTGGCATGTTCACTGACCTCTCTGCGCATAGGGTTGAAAGGATGCCCAAACTTCAAAATAGGTACACAGAATAAAATCAAGCAGAGCACAACTATTATTCTGTTCTTTACTTAATATGCTGTGGAGAATGGCAGGTTGCTCACCACACTTTCTTCCATCAGTTTACCTGGCATATCCTAGTTGTGGCTGTCAAAGCTTAGTCAACATTGCCACCACTTTCTAAGTTATTAAGGTTCACATCCAAACCAGCTGGTAACCTTAATAGCCATGGAAGCTGCATAAGGCTCTTCAGCTCTTGCTTTTGTATTACTTGCCAACTTTCCTCCAGGAACTGGAATAAGGCGATCCTGTTATTTTAGCAGAACAGCAGACTTTTGGGCAAAGTCAGTGTGTTGCAATTCAAATCCAACAAGAAACATTCTTGTTGATTGTACAGGATCAGAAAGGAAGGTATCGTATAAGAAAAGAAAATAGTAGCTGTTTGACAGTGGAATGGAATAATAGAACAGTCGTATTGGAAGGGACCCCGGGGAACATCTAATCCAAACCCTTGCAATGCAGGAATATTCAGCCATCCCATGCAGGGACCAAACCTGCAACCTTGGCATTATCAGCAGCACGCTCTAACCAAGGACTCAGCTGTACATCTGCAAATATAATGTTTTGCGTGCATTATACAAATGCGACACTAGATGGCGATGCTGAGTTTATGGCAAATTCAATATATTTTTCAAAACGTTTTTTTAACCATTATCACAGAGTTTTTTTATATGTGTCTAGATTCCACCCAACTGTGCTATCCTAAATGCACTCCCTTGGGAGGTTGTGGACTCTCCTTCGTGGGAGGTTTTTAAGCAGAGGTTGGGTGGCCATCTGTCATGGGTGCTGTAGTTGTGATTCCTGCATTGCAGGGGTTGGGATGGATGACCCTCAGGGTCCCTTCCAACTCTATGATTCTAACAAACTTCTCTTACAACGAGAATGGGTTTGCATAATCAGCTTGGTTGCAGCACCAGGCTACATTGTCCAGTTCTAGGTGTTTTCTTACGCATCATATATATTTAGTGAGACCACAGAGCACTACCACTTGAACATTAAGCATAGCAGAGAGTTGGTGGTAAGCCATAATAGCTTTCCCCTCCACACTGTTGGAACTTGTGCCAGGGGGATGTGTGAAAAGAGATTTGGATTATGCCCTTGAGAGTATGTTCATTTTCCAAGCTGCAATCCTGTGTGTGTGTGTGTGTGTGCGCGCGCGCACACACACACACACACACACATGTGAGTGAGGTTTGGAAGAAGGGTGGTATATGAATGCCTTAACCACACTCAGGCCCACACAATTTCCAACAGTGCGAAAAGGCTTAATGTTACCATACATGTGGGGCATATCATAACATTCAACAGACCGCACTGAAAATTATTATTTGTTTATGTAAAGCAATCTTACCCCACTTTTTCGGGGGGGGGGCAAACAAAACAGAGAAACCAAAAAGCTCCCAGGGTTAGGGGTGGGGGTGAATTTTGTTTTCCTTTGCTGTTTAATGATAATTCACACTTTTCAAACCAATCCTCAAAGCAAAACACATTAATCTTACCAGTTTTGGCACATCTCTGAATTTTGCAGTGCAGTTCTGCAGCTGAACAGTGTGTACAAAATTGTATATATTAGGGGGAAATTCTGTTTCATGAGTGAAAGTCTTGTGTGGTAGCAGAACAGGAACGCTGGATCCCACCCACTGTGGAAAGAGAGAGTGCATTTCCTTCTGTAATTATAATTATATTCTGTAATTATATTGTTCATATTTCCTCCAATATGAATGAAACAGACACTCTCTGACACATACATACAAACAAACAAACAAACACATATTCACTTTCCTGCCTGAACTCAGAAGTGCTACTCTGAATAATGTCTCCCAACACCACCCCAGCCTCAATATGAACTGCCATACCAGTTGGCTTTAGCAGCTGCTGTGCCGAATTGTGTGTCGCTTTTGCCTCAGGCTGCTCTTCGTGTCAGAGAAATGAATAGTTAGAAAGAACAGGTTCAAGGGACACAAGAGGTGCAGGGGAGGGTGGGCAGACACACCTTTTGTTCCAAGACAGCTCTCAGATTAAAATCGTGATGGAAGCTTCCTAGGCATGACAGAAAGAGGCCGAAGAATAGCGGAGGTGAGATGTTCAGAGTTCAAGAGGCTCCCCGTTGAGCCCACACACGGGGGGCTTCTTTCTGAGCAGCTCCGGATTCGAGATCATTATAGCCGAGCCACTGCTGTTTGAGCGGATGTACTTGGCTTCCCTCACAGCTTTGTAAATTACTCAGGAAAGGCTACTCCATCCCAGAATGGAGCATGAATGTATTGTCTCGATACATTTCCTCGAGAATGGCTCTCGAGGAAAAACACTCTGCTGAATTTCCCCACCTCTCAGGGAGGTATTTTGGTCTAGTAGATTTTATTACTTTCCTGCCAGCCTCAGAGATGCTCAGTGAGCTAATATTTTTAAAGCCCTTGCCATTTCCCCCAAAGGAAGGCACTATTAAAGTATTAAGCGAGAGATGCAAATTGCATTGGCAGCTCTGCGCCTCTTAAGGACCAGCTCTGAATGTGGACACAACACGCCAGCGTCGTTCCCCCAATGTTGTCGTGGATATAATGTATGCATTGATTTAATTTATCCCCCATCTTTCGGCAAATTCCCAGAGCAGCTTACAGGAAGTTAACATTAACAGTAAAACAAATTAAAATAAAAACAAGACCGTCAGGACACCGTAATGTAAGAGAGCAGTACAAAAGCAGTCTGTGGAATTAAAAAACAAAAAAACAGCAAGCTGTGTAAGAACGTAAGAGCCCTGGTCTCCAACCAGGTGCCCATGAGAAGGCCTCAAGCAGGACCTGAGTGCAAGAGCGCTCTCCTCACCTGCACAAAGGACTGAAAAGCCTTGGGAGATAAAAGACAATACAAATTTGCATTGATAAAAGACGACTATCAAAGTTGTTTCTCACCTTCCTAGGCCATTAAAATATGGGCCAACTCACATAAAGATTCCCTGCTTGTCTCCAGGGAAGGTAATTCCCCAAGGGAGTTATGAATATAAAAGCAAACAGAAAGACGACAGCGATCCAACCATTAGAAACACAAATTACCAAACCAAGAATAGCAGCAAACAAACCCTGACCACAAAGAGTAGCGTCACAATCCTAGAATCATAAAGTTGGAAAGGGACAATTGGGATCATCTAGTCCAACCCCCTGCAATGCAGGAATCTTTTGCCCAACGTGGGACTTGAACCCACAACCCTGAGATTAAGAGATTTGTGCTCTGCCAACTGAGCTATCCCCATTAAACAGCATTTGTTGTCCAAACTTGGACCTGTGGCACCACCACTGTTTTGTGGGAGAGATTCCATCACATACCAGAACTTTAGGTTTTCACATTTGAAGCAGATCAAAGGGCTTTGCCTCCCTAGCAAAACAAATCCATTTTTTAAAAAAAAAGTGTTCTGTGGTTTGGGAAGTTTTGGGGAAATGCATTGAAAAGTTTGGGTTAAATGACTCCACACTTCATCTTTTTCCATTGCTTTTCCCCAGGGGGAGCCACTCTTTAGCACTCAATTGGAGCAAACAGCAGTTCACGTTTTCCCCAAATTGCCATTTGTTCCTATCTATTGCTAAAGAGCGCATTTTCCTTTGGAAAGGAGTGGGGCAAGGGGGAAACAACTTGGCCCCTTTCCTAGAAAGTGCGGGTCAAGTGGGAAATTGTACAGACTTGCGATTTCTAAGGATAGCACAAAGCAGATGTATGGGCAAGCCCTAAAGAAAAGATGTATAAACACCCCACAAGCAGATCAGAATGAATGTGGGAGAAATGCTTATTCACCTATAACTGTCCCGCAAGCAAATCAGAATGGATACTCAATAAAGACTGGATAGAGTCTAAACTCCGCATAAACCTTGTGCAAGCGAATCAGGATGAATGCTCAGTAATGGACAGAGCTGCCACCAGATTTCATCTAAAAAACACCCCCAAAGGTGAAGTCAGCAACTGCTGCTCAGAAAAGACAATTACAGAATCCTGAGGGAACCAAATTACATTAGAGGAAATTCCCATTGGAGGTACCGCACATTGCTTGCTGGGAATCATGGCAAGTATTAATACAGGTTGTTAGTTAACGTGGCTCCATGCTAACATTGGGTGCCCACTGTAAGTCTATCGCTGGTGGTGAGGTCTTTCTTGGTTCAATGTGCATAGCTGATAGGACCAGCCAAGACTAGTCTTGCCACCACAAGTCACCTGACACCAGGGGAGGTTGGTCCGTCAGGGCAAATGGAGCATTGCCTCACCAACCACAGTCTGCCCTTAGCCTTCCTGCCTTATTACTTACACCCAGTCCAGCAGCTGGCACAGACTTTCAATATCCACCTTTTTAGTCTCAGTGTTGCCATTTTGGAACTTAGCAGTGGGGAGGATGGGGGTGAAAGAAGAGATTAGCTGATTCTGCCTGTGATGGGCTCTGGCTCTGCCACCTGTTGGCCTCCCTGCCCTTCCACTCCACCAGTTTTAGCCACTGCTGTTTTTCTAGGAAAAGATGATGAAACTCACCATGAACACCTCCCTTGTTCTCTTAGAATGGCAATGGTGCCCACCTGAGAGGTGCCGGAACTGAGTTCTGGAGAGTTCCAGCTGAAAAAAAGCCTTTGTTCCACCAAGCATCACAGCCTTATACAAGTGTCTGGAATTAGTTTGTGGTTTCCTGCTTTGAAAATCCTAAGAATTTGGGGAAAACCCAAAAGTGGTTGCTGGGGCTGAGGGGGGTAAGACCTAGACATGAACGTGCTGGGATCAAATCTCAGGGCAGTCATGCCTTCGTTGGTAGCCTTGGCCAGTTTAGGGGAGTTTCACACATGTGCTTTAGTGAGTGTGCATGTGGGTGAAGGAGAAGAATAGGAAATTATTGGTAACACCTCCATATTATAAGGAATGTACTCTGCATACTTCCCTGGTGTTCCAGCACAAGCAAACTCTGAGATATACACATTTTATCCCTCTTCTGTTGAAGCCTGCAGTTCCATTAGTCCATAGTTACACTGCTTTGTATGGGGAAAGGCACTAAGGCCAACTGCACCTGCCTCATCCCAATAGGGAGCTAAAAGGTTACGGGCAGAATATTCTGAAACCTCCAATTTGATTGGGCTGCAGGGATTGCCTGGCTCATGCTCCTCTAGTGGGAGTGTGACGGGGGAGAAAATGCAAGTATAATGTGCAGGCTGCCTAATGAGGATGTGGGAGAGAAACCCCACTTTCATACCTTGCTGAAGAAACAATTCACAGTATGGAAAGGCAGAGCACATGGGATTACCCAGGGGGTTTTGTTCAACAGGGAGCAACAATTGCAATAAATCAAATGATGCAGATGCAAAGGAAGGAAGGAAGGAAGGAAGATGATAGATAGATGATAGATGATAGATAGATGATAGATAGATAGATAGATAGATAGATAGATGATAGATAGATAGATAGATGATAGATAGATAGATGATAGATTGATAGATAGATAGATAGATAGATAGATGATAGATGGATAGATGGATAGATGGATAGATAGACAGATAGATAGATAGATGATAGATAGACAGATAGATAGTTAGATGATAGATAGATAGATAGATAGATAGATAGATGATAAATAAGATTAGATTAAAGGTCTGGACTAGCATGTTTGACCAGAGGTTCCAGCACACCAGGAACTTTATGCACCTCAAATAAAAACACAAGAACATCTACTAGAGGTAATTCTAATGGTGCTGAGAAAGAAATAAGAGACCAAGCAAGAAGTCTGAATCCTCTCATTGTTGCATTTAGGTTAGCGGCAGCACCCTGGTTAAACACAAGGGGTTGTGGCCTCTGTGGTATCTAATGGGTGGAGGAAGAGTCAGAATGCTCAGGTTGCTTATCTTCACATAAACTTACAGAGCAATTCCCTCTCTCGGACTGGACTTTCAAAAGAAGAATGTGGTAATGGCTGGAGCTAAAACTCCACCCGTTAGTTTGTTCTTGTGGTTCCTTTCATTCTCCGCTGCAGTTGCATGTTGGGCATCAACAAACAGCCTCTTGCTCCAGGCCTACCAAAGTGAGCAGCTCTGCCTTATTTTCAATAAGAATTTAACAAAGATGTCAGAACTTCCCCATTCAAAGTAATAAGTGGACCCATCAAGCTCGTTCTTGCATAGCCGTTCCTCTTAAACACATCTGAACCTAGTTTCCGTCTTCTGTTCCTAGATTTAACAGCTACCCTGACAGCGGTTGTAAATTTCGTTAATCAGCCAGCTGTGCATTTAAGTAGATGCATATTTTTGCCTAAAGCGTGTCATTTTTAACTAGCATACCATATTTCCTGCACACAGACCTAGGAACAAAATTCTGCAATGAATGAGAATTACGATTTGGAGTTTTCTGTTGGAAAAAAAGAACCTTTTTTCTGGAGTGGCTTGCAGGACTTTTTTAATATCGCTGCTATGGAAACAGGAGACAGAAATACTCACGTAGCACTTTCTTCCTTAGACCCCTTGGTAACTTCTATTTTATGCTTTACATTTTAAACACTTACAATTTAAAGACATGTGCCCTGATCCAACAGGCGAGAACACAAGGGTGCCGTGCATACATTTTCCCAAACTGAGAAACTTGCTCCAGATGTTGGGACCTAATGCATCTAGGCCTACTGTTAGAGGCGGTTCGATATGGTCAGTCGTCTGCTTATGGGAGGCAAGGAGGAGGACAAAATCCAGACCTCTGTTACCCACACACACCCCAGCCAATTTCAAAGTGGGGGTGAACTATATAGATGTTTCACCTACCACCACGCTCTTGAGTGTAACTGAAACAGGCTGGGACTGGGAAATGGCTGGAACTGAAGAGGCAGAAGACTCCAAGAGACTCTCCTCTAAATGTCCTGAGGTGAGGCAGATGGCAACTGGAGACGGCGGCCATCTTGTGGCAGCCAGCCTGAGGAATGTTCTCCCCATCTGCCCTTGATAACATAACATCCAAAAAGACCATTTCTGTTTTCTACCAACCTTTAAATCTTTTCAAGCTGCTTTCAAAACAACAACAATCATCTTTTACCTGCTGTTTTTGTAGTTTTCTGATCTTCTGTGCCAGGAGTGGGGACCCTGTGGCCTTCCAGATGTTGTTGAACTACAGCTCCCATCATCCTTGACCACCAGCCATGCTAGCTGGTGCTGATGGGAGGTGGAGTACTCCAACATCTGGGGATCCACAGGATCCCCATCACTGTTCTATGCTGACCATATTCTCTTTTCATTTTTGAAATTGGGAGTCAAACCGAGGACACTTAGGTGACAGAGGGCAGAACAAAGACCAAATAAAGAAGCAAACGTTCAGGTTGCCTCAAATGTGCAATGTTTTCACTGGAGTCAATGTTGGCCATTTGCTCCCCATCAAAGGTTAAGGAAAGTGATGAGAATGTTGTGCATCTCAGGGGAGCGAGTGATGCCTTGTGGACCCTTCTGCATATAAAGCTCACATAAGAAGATCCTGCAGGATCAGGCCAATGGCCCATCTAGTCCAGCATTCTGTTCACACAGTGGCTGAACATTTGCTGCAGTGAAGCCAGCAAGCAGAATTCACACATTTAGTTGGCCTGAGTAAGTTCATGTTCATGATTAAGGAACACAGCTTGCAGGTTAGAAATCGTTTCCAGGTAGGAATCGGCATATTAAAATTTTATTTAGAAATTAGGGTGGGGTGGAGAGAGAGAGAGAACACTCAGTCATGTTGTGATGGGCATGTTCCCTGTGTAGCTTATGTCTGCTTTTATTTGTGGTGGGTAACTGGAAGTTTAGAGACCTTGTGTTATATATCTTCAGTAGGTTCCAGAATTATGTTGATAAAAATTACACGTCACAATTTTAAACATTATAAAATATTTTGCTGCTTCGTATCTGTTGGCACTTAAAATGTTTACATCTATAACACATCATTTCTTTTAAAAAGCATTTTTTAAAAAAAAATCTCTTTTTTGTTACAAAAAAGGTAGAATTTCAGGTTCCCTTCCTGTTTAGATTATTACACATTCTTGCTGCACATTCATATTGCTGTCCAATTTCCCCTTTATAAATCTAAAACTCAGATGTTTCATTTTCATAAAAAGTCAAAGAGTTCAGTTCCTTCTGCACAATGTCTGGACTGAAAATCCTAATGGGTTGTGAAATGATGGATTAATCACATATTTTAGAATATGAGTCTGTTGGTTGAACAGAGTTTAATCAAAGATGTCTCCTGTAGAAAAGGATCAGTGCTGATGACCTTTATTCTAA